CGTGCTAACGGACACATATATAAATAAATACAGTACATATGAATTTGAACGGATGGTGTTTTCGGCCTCTGGGGACCTCAAAACGAAAAAGTAAAAGTAAATCGGTCCCGGGTCCAGGTCTTACTATGAGACCTACGGTTATAGCTTATTCCTTATCGGAAATTCACTAAAGCTGCAGTGACGTAATAAAATAATCATTGACCGATTTATCTCAATCAATAAATCTGTGTTAATGTCCCCTGTCAATTATTGCTGTTATGTTACTAAAACGTCCATGAAATTTTCCTCAAATAATTGCAAATGGTGAACTGCTTGGAAAACAATTTCATCAAGAGAAATTTCTTTGAATGTTCCAGTAAAGAAGTGAGAGATAGTTTACAATAGGTAAATATAGAAATGGAGCGCCGGGTGCGCGGAGAGCATAGCACTGTCGAACAACAGGGGACAGAGGATCCTGGGGTGGTAAATGTAAATATCCCCACCCCATAATACCTTCCTCTGTGACCATACAATAGGTGCTCAGTATGATAATACGGTATCGCGAACTGTACCATCCCTTTCATATCGAATGGTCTGTCGACAATACGAACCCAATTCTCTGTTTTACGTTAGCTCACTTATAAGAACATCTCGTTCATTAAATGTAACAAGTATAAGTCATTAGAATAATGTTGGTCGTCAATAAAGGTAATGGAGTCACAGTAAATCGTTTTACATAAAAAACACATTGTTTCAATTTAATTTAGAACAATGAAACAAAGAAAGCAACTGGTTCATTACGTAACAATACATTTCAGTTACGAAGTGTTTTATTAATCACAGGTTTTAAGGTAACCGGTAATTAACTAAACATGAGTGATTAACAACAAAAGCAAAATGTAACGGTTCTTGTTATGTAACGTTAGACTCGATTGAACCACTTGAAGTTTTCTTGAAACGGAAACTCCTTTGGCAGTCCGATTTTAACGACTTTTTGTTGAACGGAGTGAACCTAAAGACGTTCATTTGAAGTTTTAAAACTATTGATTGGAAATCAAAAGCACAATTTCCTTGTATAGTGTCACTTAAAGTTTGAAATAAGTTCTGTTGGATCCATCGTCAAATGCTGACACATTATAGACGCTCGCTGTGTACGTGACGCCTATTTTAATTTATAAAGGGGCTCTTCACATCTACAGGAAAATATCTTTCTATCAATATGCGTAGATTCTCCCTGCGATGTACACGAGCTGAGTAAAAATGTTTGAAAGAAACATGCTTGCCTATTAATATATAGATTCCTGTGACCACTGCAATATTTGTCTTACAGTTCTCACATTATTGGCCAAGCATGCCAGTAATCTTTGTTTGGGCGCCTCGGTCCGTTTGATTCTGAAGTAAAATGCAATAATTTACTGATGAAGCTTCATCCATTAAATACATTTTTTCAACAATGAAAAAATAGGTGAAATAATTTTATGTACGTTATAACAAAAGGGAATACTAAAATCAATAGTTTTTTTCATTAAGTATTGGTATTTTAAATAACACAATTTGATTTTCTACGTAAGGAATAATAGTAATTTTTCAGTACATGCTCCAGGTATTTTGCAGGTTAATCTAATATAAATTTATCTCTCAAAACTCTTATAAAATAGAGGAATAAAGAGTGATACAATATTTACTTTCAAGGGTTATTATGCAGAATCCCCCCCTCTATTGTTATACCTATACAGTTTAAGTAGGACAAATTAACTGCTTTATAAGAATGCAACACTGCGGACAAATTTAAAGAATAAACATTAAACTCGCAGGTTTTAAATATGGTTATAAATGCATAAAGTAGAACAATATTTTTTATAAAAACTGCTATATAACAACAACTTTAAACACGAAAGCTTGATTGTTTGATTGAGGCAGAGTTCACTTCTCATAAGCTTCCTTATTGTTGGCTTCCTCCCACACATCAGTCAAAAATTCATAAAATAACATTTCATGAAACATTATTTAAGAAAAAACTCGAGTTAAAAAGGAAACCACATCAGTTAGGCTACAGTAATTATTTACCTTAAAACTGATGTCACGATATATTTTCAATTGAATCACTTCAATTCATCAGAGTCCTAAACAATAGTCAGTGTACTGTTGTAGCCTACTGTAAAAGAAGTGTCAAACATACAGTAAGACAACTCTATGCCTGATGATGTTAACGATGTCAAGTCGAGTCTTATAAGAACTTTGTTTGGTAAAATCACTCCGAAACATGAACACATAAAACCTTGGTTACTAACAACAGACTTAAGTCCCACGAGGAAATGTGCGTTTCAATATCAAGACGAAACAGAGGAATGGCCGCTAGACACAGACGTGTAAACTGTGATAGCAGTATTTTTACACATATATCTTATACTGTCGTTTCATTAAACTATATTTTTGAAGTCTTGTTTAGAACATATGCATTAGTATTAAGTGGCCACTTACATAGAAAATATGCAATAGCAAATCATCATTCTGGAAAATTAAATACAAACTCACAATTATAGATAATTTTTTTGGGAAGCCAGTGGCTCAGTCGGTAGCATAATGGACTGCGAGTCTATGACAGCAATGTCTGTGAGTTTGTTCTAATGACTAATAATGAGCCTACAGTTCGTTCTTGTCCTGTACATGACAATTACTGTAATGTAAATTACTCTTTGAATAATGTTTCACGGACAGGCTCGATAGCCATGTGATCAAGAAATGCAAGGTTAGAAGGCCAACAACCTCATCTTACGACAAATATTGCTAATCGTAATCGTACTGTTAAATATTAAAAACACAATTTGGTTTATTTTTGAAGAATTTATACCGGTCTTATGTTTAAACCTGGTACTTGTTTACTCAATACTAGCTTACTGGCTAACAGTTAGAATGGACTGTAATAATAATAAAAAAAAAAAAAAACTGCCAGTGATCTCTCTAATTTATAATCCTGAAAATCAATAACGTTTGTTTTTCATTGTGTAAATTAGAAATTCGTTATCTGTCAGCAGATGTAAAATGTATATTTGTGGAATCAGAAACCTTTACAAACCTTTAGAAAGGTGTTTGAAACACTCTTTCATAAAATTGACAAAGCCACCCAATCTAGCAAAAAATTAGTTTTTTTTTACCTTTTTGCAAATTTGGAAAATGCTATAATGATTCCCCCGTTTAAGGAGTTTCTTTTGCAAACTCTATAATGCAAACGCATTTCATTAAAAGAACATAATTAAAATATAATACATTTTGTAAGATAGGATTACACCTTATTCTCGTACATTGATTACAATACAAAATCAAGCGATATAAACACCTTAGTAAAATTTACTCTGCAGTTTATGGAAATGTTTTGAATAAAGTTTGTGTTACACTTGAATTTATGAGTACTCGTGAAATTTGTGCAGTACTTATGTCGGAGAACAAAATAAACAATGTTTGAAGCGAGACTATTATTTACTCCAACCTCGTTTGAACGTGTCAGAGTAAACATACATTTACGGTTGTCTTTGTTTTGCCTTGTAATGCAAAATTATTCTCGCTGTTTTTAAGTTGGAACAATATTAAGTCTTTTGACGTTTGTTTTTTAAAGTACGTGCACCTAGTAATTTTAAAATGTCTCGCTTTTCCCTCTTGCATGTTTCGACGATCAACTGTTTAGTGATTATTACAATTTTGCATCTATTAAAGATGTAAATGAGTTTTTAATAAATTAATTAAATCTAGAGATCATAAACTGGTTCTCCGAAATCCCTTTTAGCGAAAAAAATACTCACGCGATACTTCTTTAGACGAAACGTATGTTTTTGTAGTTTGTTAGGTTTGATAAAAATTATTAACAACATTTATAATTGATAAAAAAACTCATAATAGGCTAATGCTTTTTATATACATTCTACTCAATATTAGAATAGCAAGTAAGATAGGCTATATAATTTATAAGATTGTTGTCAGTTGGTTGCGCTGATTATTTATATTATGTTACCTACTGTGCTAGAAATAAGGTCGATTAATATTTGTTCAAGTATTGATTTCATGTTTCATGTGTTCATGTTTTGAAATTTATTAAAAAATTGGTTTATCAGTCATTGACTACCAGACGTAGTTATGATTAGAAAGTCAATCTGATTATCAAACACGAGTCTTTTAAATTATGAGATTTTTCATTTTGGTGTGTTATTTAGTTTCTTGTATTTTTATAAATGTTTAACTGTTGACTGGTAATTGTTATTTGTTATGTTTATTAATATATTTATTATGTTTATTTTGATTTTTAAAATATATTTCTTATGTATATAACCGGTCTCTTGAAGAAATTTCTTTAGGATATATTACAATCATTCACTGTCAAAATATTCTTACGTGTAAGGTCCTTATTAAATTTAGACTTAGGACAAATCGTCGTTTTGAAACAGTAGTGTGCTGTAATCACAAAGAAATTCAGTGCTATACAAAATCAATAGAGTGGCGTTTAGTATTAAGAACACCGTATGTTAACATCCTCCCCTAAACACAACGCTTTGCAAGACGTATATACCAGGTTGAGGTATGGATGGGTTAATCTTTCTCATAACACATTTTTAAACTGACCTCAAACAGTTAGTGATACCACAGTACCTTAATATACAATTAAGATAGAATATTACAGAAATACATAATTTCGTCTCACTGCAGCTCTTGTAAATTCAATTTTTTCAACGACGCACCCTTCAGCACATATTGTACCTGAAAATAAATAAAGGGCGAGTCTAGAAGGGAGTAAGGTGATCTGTGTAGTTTTACTGACAAACACATTTATTACAATCTCTAAGCTTAATCCCTGATAACTAAAATGAAATAGAAACTTAAATTTTCTCCACGAGAGACTTGGTCATTGAGTTAATCTCCATGAAATCACACGCTTGAAACACCTTGAGTTCCTAAATCGGACAATCATTGGACATTGGCAAACGTGTACATGACAATAAGGAACCGAATTAATCAGCTGTTTATTGTTGCAGCCCCCTCCACTGCGCTAGTCTTCGGTGACTCTCACTCGGGTGTTCAGTCGCTGACCGTCAGTCGGTGGTAGTACGAGGTCCAGCGGCGCGGTGTACCCAGCGTTACCGGTGGATACGATCACGGCACGACAGGCCTGCAAATCCTAAAGGTAGGTCTAGATCCAACGTCTATTTGTGGGTGTTTAATAAAGGTGGGGAAATCTGGTTGAGTACAATCATGTTTTGGGATTTTAACAAAATGTAACAATTTTGAATAACGATTAAGTTGATTCCGATTGCGATTATTTAGCTGTTATTTGTGTCTTCAGTATTTTTATTTATTACCATTCAATCTTTGATGTCATTACAATTATAAACCATGTTAAGGGAAGATTGTGTTCTTCTTTTGATGCTCGTATTTTCGCAATATTGGTACAACAAGCTGTTACTTACTCCAAGAGCAGAGTGTACGAAAAATATAACAATTAACAAACCTCCTGAATTATTCTAGGTTTCCCATGTCTTTCTTTGTGGCAAAAAATCGCTTTTAATTTGCCCCCTTAATTTGTCCTCACAATTTAATTTCATATGACGCAAATAGATTGATTACCAAAACAGTTAAGCCTTTGGTGTAGTATATTACTGAAAAGTACCACTAGAAAGTAATAATATCGATGGTAATAAATCATTATGAACCGCAAAGTGAACAAAATCAACATTTGTTTTACAGGATAAACTTAACAATATCGAACAATGAAAAAACGAGCAACTATTGAAAATAAGTAGTTATAGTTTTTTTAGTACAATAGTAAAAAAATAGATATAGCTTATAATAATACTAGGAAGGGTAATAGTTAACTTACGTGTTTATCTCTTTATATTTACGTCAATTGGGTCAAATAAAGGGAATCCAGAGAACAATAAGGGGGATGGAGAGTTTCCGATTTCAAGTTCCCTGAATTGGAACCAAAATTATTGTAACTAATTGGTGCATAAAGATATCCGCTTACTCCAAACATTTCTCAATTAGTTTTGGAACAGTTAAAATAATCCTTTAGTTATTCTTTCAGAGAGTTTCTTATTGGGGAGTAGCCATTAGAGCATTTGTTTTATTAAGACCTATTTCAGTGACCATAGTATTTTTTTGTTTTTTGGGTTCCCAAACCCCCTAATACTTTGAAATAGCGTTTTACCTTTATTACATTTAATTTTATTATGCTTTGATAGTGGTGGTTTTAAATTTATTGCATAGTAATTAGTGCCTAAATCTAAAAAAGTCCAAAACTAACTATTTCTTAACAGATAAGAACCAACTCGATTATTTACTAGCCGACCGTAGCGCATTCATTGTTTGATTTGTTTTCAAGCAGCGTTGGAAATGGTGTTCAGCAATTCTAGTCTAACTCCAGAAAACAACTTTTAATAAAGAAAAAAAAATTAAATAAATCGCCCACTCGTCAAATTATTGCTTTTACATGATACACGTGATATTTTTAAAATTAGATAAACAATCAATTTTTTCGTGTTTTCTATTCAAAGTACCCTTAAACCCCCAGCTGTTTTCCAACATTGTTCGAGTTTTGACAGGTGAGGAAACTTTTGTCGTTGCAACTACATCTTTCATCATGCAGCCAATCGCTTTCATCTGACCTGCAACTGGCTATTATAAGACCGGCTTGTTGGTAACGCTACTTTCCTACTTGTGGGGAAATACCCTATATCAAGAGTGAGAGGCTATGTGTTATTGTGTTTGAAACCGATCAAAACATTACCTCGTGTGCTGCAATCGGGAGATGTACGCAGGAATACCACGATATGATAGTGTGTAATGTCTCACCTTTACATCCTGCGCTGGGATTAAGTCTGAAACTGCTACACTTTACTTCGGGCTAAGCCTTGAGGGTGGCAACATTCTTACATGGCTAAAACAATTTGTGATTGGCGGGGTTTGGACCCGGGAATTTGGGGAACGAAGCCGCGCTCTTTACCACTGCATCGGCTCGTTCCCCGATAGTAAAGTTTGAAAATAAAATATTTTCAGATCTGTTTAAACTACCTTATGCATTAATCACAACCATTAATTGGGTGAAAACTAATCTTTTCTGTAAATAAATTGCGAATGCATGTATGACATGCGGCAATAACAATACTGTATGTAGGTTAACTATCAACAAGTTAACATTAATGTACAATGTAATGTTACAGGAAAATATAAAGTTATCAATCATTTTAGCCTCTGGATTGCTTATATATTAATTGATATTATAAGGCCTTACCTTAGCAATCCTGAACAGGATTGCTAAGGTAAGGCCTCATAATATCAATTAATATAAAGTTAAATACCTGCAAAACTAAAATGCTGCAAACTTTCGTTATAATAAACGTAGGTCTTACTCGAATTCATTACAGTTATATTTTTGCACCTATATATTTGGGTAAATCATTACAATTAATTTTAAGTATAAATTAAGTAAAAAGAAATTATAGTTTTTAGTTAAAACTATACCGGTAATTTTTTTTACTTAATTCATACCTAAAATTAATTGTAATGATTTACCCAAATATAAAGCTGCAAAAATATAGCTGTGATGATTAATTCGAATAAGACCTACGTTTCCTATAACAATTATAGTTTAATCGGTATCTTAATCCAACTCTATCAAAAGGTATCAGCAATCTCACACTCATTCGCAATTTGGCAAACAACTTATTTATTGGACGTATCTCCAATATAAACTAATGTTTTTGAAAATGAATGGGTTTATACAACTTGTGAGTATGCAAATCGACAAAACATAGTATACATGTTAAGTTCCATGTAAATGTATATAGATAAATATTTCAGTAAACATGTCAGACCTATTGATGGTTCAACTGTACGAGGCATTTCGATGTTACGTTTACGTTGCACAAAGAAAAAAAATAACTCTATAACAACAAAGCTATACGCAAAACAAAACCCTAATAAAACATCCGTCACATAACTAAATAAGTCTTTTTGATCACAATTAACCCAACAATGAGAGCAAAGAGCTACCATTATACGTATGTTATAAAAGCTTAACAAAGGACAATAACGCTCGACTAACCGAGTCAAATCAGCTCCGATTGTCGGTGTTTTAATTGTATCGTCGGCCAACATGATACAAACAGAATTTCTCAGGGTAAACACGGACTGATGTTGTTTACATTGTTGTCATCGCACTCGAAGCCAGCGAGGCGGCATCGGCAAATCATGGACAACTGTTTGAACTTTGAAACTAACAAACTGGAGATAATTTTATAACTTTGGGACGTGAACGAAGTTTGTCTGCGAAAAGTGTTTGAAATTACTAAGTCGAAATGGAAATCGGAATAAAACTATTAGATTGGATTTTTAAATGTAAAAACTAAGTTTGGAAATGTTGTGGTTGGGTTTGATTTTGTAAAACATATATTTTCTACGGCTAGCCCAAAATGAGAATCATAAAGCATATTTTTAATCCTTACTCGATCTCATTTGTGTTTTTTTGTATATGTTGCACCAATTTAATATGCATTAAACATTTTTTTATTTTTGAAAATAGTCTCAAATCAAATATTATTGAATACATAAGTATACTACAGGCAAGTCCTAATGTTTTGACTTTTCCTCAATTAGAAGCCAACCTACGGGATGTGCTTCCAAGTACATAACTTGTACGGAAGCAACAATGCATTTTACGTCAATGTTAACTAGCTAGCGCAAGTAGCGAAATCTACTTACTCCTGCATGATTGGAAAATTTGGCCCTTCCAGCAGTTGAGGATTTGTATTTGTTTAGTTTTGCATAGCAGGAAGTCTAGTATATATTTGTATTCTATGCAAATGCAAATTAATTAAAAAAAAACTGTAAATTAGCAAAATAATTTTAGTTGTTAGTCAAAATATCTTTTTATCCAACATTTAGTTTATCATGTTACTAGCAGAGTACCCGTCCTTCGTACGGGGTTGGCATATAAGTATAAAATGCTTATTGCAGTTATGGGTGAGGACATGGTTTAAGAAAGTTTGGTTCTTTTGTTCTACCACTGCCCCTGAACCATAGAAAAAAGTAAAAAGTAAATAAAAATAAACAAATTATGTAACTGAAAGAATCCTATTATAATGAAATGACATTAGCGTATGGTTTGACAGCTCCATTTAAGTAATGTTAAATAATGTTTACATTCAGGATAGTGACATCATTATTTTAAATATGATCCTTACCCTCTCTGTTCTAATATTCATGCAGTATTTAAATGAATGTTTGAACCAGCTGTATGGAATTGTGAAATCAAAATTAATTTGACAGTTAGTACTGCTTGTTTACATTTTTAAACTTTGTAGGTTTGTTCTTTGTTGTCATGGATACCATCAATCAAAATTTACTTTGAAATCTCTCACCTCCGATTTTTGAAAGCCCACGGGGCAGAGCCCTAGGACAATATTGAAGCGGGAATAGTTCTATATGTATCCTCGGAACTGTAGCTTCATGTGTGTGCAATTTGAGCCCAATAGGTTCAGTAGTTTTTGAGATTAGCTCATACAAACACACACACACACAGACACCACCTCTTCTTTATAATAGTATAGATAGATTAAACTGAAGTACATATTTCTTTGAGTCCAAACCTCAACTACCATAGCCCAGACCGCTCTCCAAATAGATTAACATCGCGCTGCCGTGTTTGGTAACTGGTACGACTGCTAGTGGCACAGTAGTACAATTGAAGGTATATAGTAAATGGTAGTACTAAGCCAGCCTCGGGGAAACTAAGTTACGAATCCACTGTTCTATTCGACCGTTTTGAATTGTAGAAAACGAAAGTAGGACCGTGGGCAACCTCTTGGGCCGGTGTAAAGTTTAAACCAATCACTGGCAATTATGACAGTCCCAGTCGGGCTGATGACTATTTTAGTTCAACCATTGACTACCGATGACCGACTCCTTTAGAACTACTCGAAACCGGTTCTGGAACTTGAACTCGTCCGTAGAGTCGACTCAGATGACCAATGTGTCTGTTCTTTTACTTTGTTTAATAAATATAAAGAATACCAATAGGCTTTATGTAAAGACTAGTAAATGTTAAGATGGTAACATATTTAGTGGCTGTGCAGGTTGTTAAGGGTTAAATATTTCGGAACAACTACTGTGACTTGAAACTTTTAA